ACCTAATCAATTGCATTGCGCAACCTTTTCCGTTTCTTTCCGTCTGCCACATTTTAGCCTCCCCTATACTTCCAATGAGGGCGCATTTGTGTCTACTCCACTACTATTAGGTGTACTTCTTCTTACGAAAAGGAACAATTCACGTGTCGGCCGCATTTTATGGCTGCACACAACTGGCGGTGTACGTACAAGCCATGATTCGTACACAAATCCCGATATTTTAAAATTTGTTTTTAATTTTTGTTTATTTTACTGATATGCCTTTATTTTGCCCAATTTTACTTTAACTCGTTTGATTTTTGCTTGGCATCAACAACTCATTTGCATTATTACTAATCGGATTGAACTAGACGCTCAGTAGCCTCTACATTTTGGCCCTTTGAATTGAGCGCTTCCGTGGGTGTATTATTTTGCCGCCTACTGCCTCAAATCACCAGATAATTTTGAAAAAAACAAAAAACAAAAATGAAGCTAAGCCTTTGTAGCGTCCTTTTTGCCTTCGTCTTGTGCTGCCTCTGCGGAGCATCCCAGGGTATACATGAAGAAGAGCAAAAGGGCGGAGTAAAGAACGACCTGGGGAATGTAACAATAGAAGTCCTGCCCGCTGACGATGATGACGATGATTTGGAGTTAACCAATTATTTGTTGGACGAACTGATGGACAGGGATAACGTGGAGAGTGACCAACTGTGAATGGTCTATGGGTGCGGGTGGCTGTATGACGAGGGTACAAAGCTTGCACAGCAAACTTCTAATTCGGGTGTGCAGATCAAACCGCGCTTGCGAAGTGTGTGACCATTTGGTGCTACTAAAATGCATAAGTGACATTAAACCTGAAAGGATGAGATGAAACGGATGGAAACAAGAAGAGGAGGATAACTCGCGTCGGATTCTTGTTTGTGAGTTCCACTTACACTAGTGAAATGTTTTGGGGAAGTGCTTGCCACTATCGCACTGCAGCGTTTTGTAGACCCAGAAATGTATATGACCCGTGGCACGCTCTACATAATATATGATTTATTTTTTTTTCTACACGTGGGCGTATTTGCCAAACGCGTTTAAGAACCTTTTTTGGCAAAATAGTTTTCAACTACGTTTAGGCGCTGCGAGGAATTGGAACTGCGTTTTATGGGGTGGCAACGAGAAGGGGGACCAAGTCCTTGCTTAAAAATAAACTCACATGAGCATGTATATATGCACAGGTGGAAATACCTGCAACGGAGGCGGGTCATGCAGGTAGCTTCGCCCATGCGCCGAATAGCGTTACCTGTGTCCATTGAGGATGCTACGATATTTGCGTTTCCAGGGGTACGCCCTATTATCCGCGTGTATGCGTACGCAATTTTCGCCCTATTTGTCATTGTGTGCATAGCATTGCTTGAACAGGGAATCGTCCTTAACCTTTTTTTTTTTTTTTTAAGGGTAGAAAATAACATCATGACGCAATGTTGCTCTATGTTTATATATAGTCTTGCCCCTTTTTGTTTCCACTCCTTTTTTTCAACCCTTTTTTTTTTTTATCCATTTTACATTTTATACTTTTTTTACGGTGAGATCGAAGAATTGAGCTGAGGGAATATATTTTAGGTAGTTAAACTTTGCCATCCTTCGCACTTGTGCATTCTTATAGAGACACTTTTCCATGGAAGTGTAGTTTCCCGACGTGGGCACATTTTGCAACCCTACGTGTTTCCTTGTACTGGCTTAAATTTTTTGGAGGACCAAAAAAAGTAGTCACAAGGGGGAATCAAATTTAATATTTTTTTTTTTTTTTTTTTTATGCAACATTTTCACCTTGCGTGTTCAGAAAAAAATTCATGGTGACATCACAGGTTCGCTTAAATTGAGGTAAAAAAACAAAAAAAAAACGAGATAAAAGGAACGTACTTAGAATGATAAACTTCATCCCGGCGCTCCTCGTGAAGCCTCTCCTGTACATTGGTTTATTCGTCGTTTTAAAGCATGCTGTGTACCTCGTCTACTGGGTGTTAAATTGTGTAAGTTTTTGTGTGTGTTGTCTTTCTGCTTGAGCGAGTCGGAGTTTGTTCTCCCCGCAATTTTAGCAGCAGTGCATACGTAGGCATATAAACACAGATCTACATAAATGCATTTGTGTGTTTGCGTGATCGCGCTTCTCCCTTTCATGCTTTTAGCTCAAGTGCCAAGTGTTTGCGAAAAGATTGAGAAGCTATGGCGAGACAGTTATCATTACTGGGTGCACGGATGGAATTGGAAAGAGCTTGGCATATTTGCTGATAAGTGAAAATGTTAATTTGTTCCTCATAAGTCGTAATGAGGATGCGCTAAAGAGCATCAAGCAGGACCTACTCTTGAGAAACAGGAACTACAAGGGACAGATCGATTATGCAGCGTTTGATTATAATGCAAATAGCTTCACCTCCTATAGGAGTATTCAGGAGAAGATCGAAAAATTGGATGTCGGAATTTTGATTAACAATGTGGGGGTTTCCTACCCGCACCCGTTGGTAAGTGCAATGCAGTGGAGCGCCATGGAGGAGACGGGCGTGGCGACCTCACGGGTGTAAATATGCTCAAAGTACACGCAAAGTGAAGAGAAAACTTTTTTTTTTTTTTTGTGGCTGACACCCCTCCCCTCCGTAGTATTTTCACGAAATGGACATCCACCTGATAGAGCAGCTGGTGAACGTGAATTTGCTGTCATCCTATTACATGACAAAGTTGGTGTTGCCAGGTAATTCCGTGCAGGTGTTTCTTTTTTCTGCGCCGCGTGCGTGCTGCTGTTACAGGCGTTTAACCATCTATATGTGTATACATATTTTGTTTTATTGCATTTTTTTTTTACCCCCCCCAGGAATGATTCGCAAAAAGAAGGGACTCATTTTGTACACGTCCAGCGGCGCAGCCACCCTTCAGTCCTCTCCCTTATACACAGTTTACGCGTCGGTGAAGGAGGCCATCTGTTCATTCGCCAATTCGTTAAGTGTACGTCCCAGAAAAATTGCAAAGACAAGCGGAATAGCCAAATGAGTGCACGTGAAAAATTAGAAAATTGATTAGGCACTTAGTGGGGCTTATTTCATGACACTTTTTGTTTTTTTTTTTCTAAATATCAGGTCGAATTGAGGGAACAGAACATTGAGGTGCAGTGCCACGTGCCTCTATTCATCGTGACCAAGCTGTCCAAGATAAAGAAGCCCAGTGCATTCGTCCCAACGGCGGATGCATACGCAAAGAGCGCAATTAAAAAGATGAAACAGGGGAATAGCACTTGCAGCAGTGTTATATCTTCACCCTATTTCTTGCACAGAGTGCAAATAAGCTTGTACAACGCCATGCCGAAACTGTTGTTTGACACCATGTCCTTCATGACTCTTAAGTCAGTTAGACAAAGAGCGTTGAAGAAGAACGTGAGAAAATATGATTAATTTGGTTTACGTAAGGATACATTTTTTTTTTTTTTTTCCCCCTCCTAATTTTTATCTACGCACTTAGCCATTTGTGCACGATTAAACGTTTTGCTACTTAACTCCATTTGGCAAATACCCCTGTTTGTGTTTTGCACCTTTGAAAAAAAGGTATACAATAAATGCGGCGAAATGGAAGATGTGTTGTTGGGGGTGTGCCCAATGAGAGGTGTTTCCCTTTCGTAGCTTATATACGTGGCAATAAATCTATAAGTGCGCAGTTGAGGGTGGGGGAGATCCAACCGTATCTGCTGGGTCAGGGCGGATGCCTCATGGCTTTTGGGGGATAAATACTCCCATGTGGGCGACGCCAAAATGGATGCTATACACATGGTGATATTTTAATTGTCCTTTGCGTTACTTACACCCATGTGCTACGGGCGATGATAAAAAGCACAAAAGCTGGTGATGCCTATGTGTACGAAGGGGCACCACGATTGGTGTTGCACGGTGAGTTCTCGCGCAGGAGGGACGCATGAGAGTATAACTCTCCTTGGGTAAAAATTTTTTCCTTCTCTTTTTTACCTCTGCGGGAAACAGTGGGGCAAGCTTAGGTGTGCATTCGAAGTGGTGGCTTTTTTCCATTAAAGTTAAATAGGGACGCGAGGTGCGATTGCATCCGGGTGGTGATGCTGCCGATCGGTTATATGCTTCTTTCGCAGTGAGGCTGGAAACATTTCCCACTGCCTCGCGCGGACCGGCGCCGTGTATGTGTACATGTGCGACCACTTGTCTTCGCGTTACAATTTTTATTTGAGTGAGCATTTGTCATTTCTCCCCCATTTCAATCATGGCAACGAATCAAAGAGTATATACATGCAAAATATAAAGGAGCAAGTGTATGTAAAAGTATTTGTGTATTCACCTTTGCGTGTATTTTAAGTGTATTGTCGCGCGGGCCTGTTCCCCTTTGTTTTTTTTTTGGCGAGTGCGACACGAACCCATAGCAGAAGATTTCGGGAGCTTACTCTTGCAGTGGCTGGCGAGCATCGTGTTGTGAATTGACCACTAGCGCGTGCAAGGATACGACCCTGTTGTGTAGCAACGTTTACATTGTGCATGACATCTTCCAACCATAGGGCGCCAGATGGCCTCATTTCTATCGCATTTCATGTGTTCGCACAAGCTGCCCCTTTCCGGAGGCCCTCTTCGTCCCTATTGAGCGAGGCATATGGTTTCCAAAATTTTACAACCGCTTAAAAACTTTCATTTGGGGACTTGTTCGAGTTTTGTGGGCGTCAGTCAACTGTGACGGTTTTTCTTGGATCCATTGTCGTTAGGCTGTTAGCTAGGGGGTCCGCTGGACGGTTCGTTCGGGCGGCTAGCAACTGGCCGGGTAGTGTATTTTGCCTTGTTAAGTTTTATCTTTACCAGCGGTAGAGATTTACCCGTGTACTTATGCTACCTGACTACACCGCGGCAGAAGTTGCGTCGGTGCAACGTCGTAGCTTCCCTGTCTGAGTTAGCGCGCACACCCCCACCCCGACAATAATGCACACGGACGAGCGAAGCTCACATTTAGGCATTACTCACATTTAAAAAAACGAAAATAAAATGCGTACCCCCATCCCGCTGGCCTTGTTTCTGCTGGTGGTGGTACTTATACTCGTGGGCATAGATGAAGTGGCGTCAAATAGCAAATCGGGAAATAATAAGAAGAATGCAAAGAACGCCAAGGTGGGCAGCGGAAGTAAGCAAGGTAAACATGATGGTATGAGTGGAAAGGGAAGCCAAAAAGGGAATAAAAAAGATCCGGGTGGGGGAGGTGGTACTCCGAAAGGACAAAGTAGAGGATCCGAACAGGGAAAACAAAAAAACAGAAAAGGAGACGACAGTCATTTTGATGAATATATACAAGACATGAGAAACAATCAAGACGAAGAAAATTTCATGGATGAACTGAACAAATTTGAAAAAAATTTTCATGATGAAGATTTAGAGAATTCCGAAAATCTTTTTGATAACTATGGCAAGGGAGGAGCATATGATGACGAGTTCAACAACAATGACGAGTTCGATAATGGAAATTACAACAAAATGAGACCTGATGCAAATGATTACCAATATTTTGATAACGATGATATTATTGAGGGGGATGATGAATTGACAAACATATGGAACAAAAATATGCAAAATTTTGAGCCATCTACTTTGCTAACATTTGAAATTCAAGGAAATTCAGAAGAATATCTTTTTGAGGACATAACTAATTTGAACACTTATTTTCGAGGAGTGTTTTACACCAATAATGAATCCGATGATAATAAAATTTTGTTTTTTATTACCGATCCTCATGGACAAATAATTTACAAGAAAGAAGCAGTGGAAGGGATTTTTTACTTTTACACACAGCAAATTGGGGTCTATACAATCACTTTGAAAAATAGCAAATGGATGGGAACAAAAATCACAACGGTTGCCCTTGGGTTGGGAGAAAACCCCTCGTTAAAGTCGGAACACATAAAAGACTTTACCAATTATATCGACAAAATTGTTGCTGAAACGATAAGGTTAAAGAACGAATTGAAGTATTTATCTTCCAAGCATATGGCGCATATTGAGAAAATGAAAAAAATCACCAACAAGGCCTTTCTCTATTGCTTCATTAAATTGTTTGTGCTCATCTTTTTGTCCCTCTTCACCATCTACTACATCAAGAATTTGGTCTCCAACAAGCGCGTCCTCTGAGTTGGCCCCGCTCAGCTGTGGTGCAGGTACCCCGGCGAGGGAGAGCTTGCAATGTGTAGGACACATATGAACAGTCAGGCGATTTTGGTGTACATATTTGCAAAAGTTATGAACTGTCAGGTGTTTTGGGCGAAACAGTTAACAAAAATTATGAACACACAGGTCATTTCCACCAAAGGTGTGTGGGTGAACTGCCGATAGACCGGAAGAGCCCCCACTGAATTAACACACAAACGGAGAAAAAAATACGAAGGGGACAGGTGAACAAGTGTGACATTATTTGTAGAGTATCTTTTCTTTTTTTTAAGTGATAAGCATTTCCCTCATTAGAGTTGTTTAAGGCAAGTATGAGCCGAATGAAATTACACACATTTTGGAGTGTGTATATGCAGTTATGCATGTGTATATGTATACTTGTGGTGTTTCCACCACATGTGCATGTCGCATTTTTGCAATTCCTGTTTTTTCACAATTTTGAAGCACCGAACTTAAAATATAGCTATTTCTCATTTTTTAAAAACCCTTTCTAAGGTACGAAGGGGTGACGGCAAATTTCACGGGCACCCAAACAGAATGGATGAGGGGGGAGGCATGAGCTCTCCGATTGGGGATTTCCCCCACCCACGCCCGTTGGGGATTTTTGACGACAACTTCGGTTTTATGTTGTGAAAGTTTGAGTGACTCCAATTTGTGCGAAGCTTACTGGAGTACATCAATGAAACTTTTGTGCTACACTACTGAATTGCTACGACAAGGTGTCTACCTTGGTATCTCTGCGTTTATATGCGTCTGAATGTACGGAAGGCCTATATTTATTTTTTTTCGTGGGGTACGTGCTGGATCGCAGAACTTGGTGGGGCGAACAACTATGTGTGTGGTTTTGTTGGTGTGCGTTTTTTTACGCATATGTTTGCTGTTGGCAAGTTACACATTAGCCCGTTATTACATTTTTTTTTAATCGTGTTCGGCTCCTCCGAGGTTAGTAAAAACGGGGGCAACAAAAACAAAGACAATAAAACAATATCACACGATCGAAAGAACAAACACATGAGTAACAAAAAAGTACCCAAAACAGAAACAAAAAAATACAAGATGTGTTTACTAATTAATTTACAACGATGACGTGGGACGTCTCCCTTGTAAACACGTGATAGGTGAGCGTGGTTAATTTTTTTTTTTCCCCTGGTGGGGGTCTTATATAAGCTGCGTTTCTCTGGGCACTACGTTTTTGCGAAGGAGGAAGGAATGTAGGAATGGCAGAACAAGACAAGTATTCTCTTTTGGGCGCGGGTAATTTTTGAGCGCATTAGAGGGAGGCATTCCCCCACCCCTCCTTCGCTGCTACTTCTCCCGCTGCGGTGAGACACACTTCCCATGTATCAACTGACGGAGAAGCTTGGTGATACTCTCTGCAACATCGGTGTTCATATGGGAAAGCGTAAAGTGGTTCGTTTTCACATTAAAGGTTCCCTTGGTGTGACAAAAGTTACACACACTCACAGGTTGCTGAAGGGGGGGGTTGGCATTGTTCGAAATGTGCTTCGCCTTCTTGTAATAAAACGGACTATTCCTGGTAATTCGGATTAGCTCTTTGTATCTCATTATTTCACTTCTTGGGATGATTCGTACGCAGCATATGTCGTCATCCTGGGCTGGTTTTTCCTTCTGTCCGTCTGTTTGGTAATCCCTTTGTTGCGCTCCCTCACACGGTACTGTGCTTCCCGACAGGGGTTGTCCCTTTTTGCGCAGCATGAAAATCTTCCTCATTTGACTCTCCTTCAGGTCAGCCCTTTCGCAAATCGTGTCGGTCAATTCGTCCTTGAGGCTCCTGCGGGGTAGGTACACTGTTTTTACGTTCACGCGCGTTACAAAGTTGCATGGGTTGATGAGGAATATGTCATCTCGTTTTAGCACTTCTTCCTGTTTGGGCAACTCGCTAGGTTCATCTGTTTGACCTGGCTGACCTGTGCGTACCCGGATCATTTGGTCCCTGCCACCACCGTTCTGTTCCACCAGAAGGCCAAGGTAGTCATTTCTCGAGTTGTAAATAAAATTACTGCACTTTGCTTTCTGTATCTGTTTTTTGTAATCCCAGCATTTCATGGTCGTCCTCTTCGACTTGTCCACAAAGTGGTGGTTCTTCCCGTCGCACACATGATTCGCTTTTTGTTTGGTTTTGTTCGCAGCGGGTTTTTCTCCTTTGATACTACCCCCCGGCGCAGCAGCATCCTTTTGCACATTCTCACTTGCAGCATCGGGGAAGTCACTTAACATAGAGTACCCCTTGGATAAACGTTCATCCTCGTCCAAGGAGTTATCATCTAGCAGCACCTGGTCAAAGTCAGACGTATCGCTGGATGTAACAATTTGTTTTGCGAGATTTCCATTTGTGTCTGTGTCACTGTTGGGGTGAACTTGTGTACCATCTTGGTTTTTTTTTTTTTTCTTCTTGTCCATTTTAATTGCCTTATTTGAAATGAACAGGACATCCATAGCTTTGACATGCATGACTGTCCTGATGTCTCTCCTGCAGAGAAAGTTTTCATCCCAAAATTTATTTCGATCGATGCAGATTTTTACAAATTTAACAAACACTAGTTTTCCTTCTATCAGGACAAGTGCAAATTGATTTTCTGCATCAGTGGGGTCTTCCATACTTTGTTCCTTAAGGTGCTTATTTTTTTCGTTTGTGCTTTTTCGTCTATGCGTTTCGCCATCCGTTGGAAGTGTGTTAATGCTGCAACAATCTTCGGTGCTTGCTCCTTTTGGGGTTGCAAATACTCCTCCTGGTTTTTCCCTTTCTGCATCATTACGATGGTTGCCCTTGGAAGGTATCTCCTCTGCACTGCTTCTTCGCACGCGAGAACTTCCCAACTGAGGATGGAAGGGAAGGACATATATTTCTCCTTTTGTCCGTTCGAATAGTGCATGGATGCAACATTTTAGATTTTGCAGAATGCACTTTAAAATTAATTGCCGCGTGGGATCCAGGTTGTTCGTCTTCTCTACCCTTTCGCTTAGGGTTGTGTTTTCCTTGGTCTGCATCTTCTCATCGCTGTGGAAGTTTTTTTCTCCTTGAGGTGACTCCCTCTTAAACGGATACAACTGGTCAACTTTGTGGATGACGATTGGCTGCTCCGTCTGTCTGAAAAGAGGAAAGGTTGCTTTTGGAAAGAGGACCTTCCCCTTTTGTAGAATCGGTTTGTCTACATCTGTCAGCTGATCCCTTGAGTTTATCTTGACGGTGAGCCACTGCTTCTTTTGGAATATTTCGTAGTTTTTGGTGATCCTGGTTCGTGAGTCGCAGGGGGGCTTGATGATATGGATTCCTTCGCTGTCCTCATTAGGGATTGCCTGTGGCCCATTTGATTTTTTTTCTGCCCCCCCATTGAAGTGCTTTTTAAAACAAATGAACAGATGCAAATTGTGCAAATAATAGTTAATAAAAAAGCTAGCCCTTTTCAGCTCATACAGATATATTAACCACGTGGCGCTGCTAACCTTTCCTGCTAAGTCGATATTCTGTTCGTACTTCTTTTCGAATGTCTGCATGTTTTTCTTGGCTTGGATTACATTCCGTGTGGTTGTTCGCCCTTCTTCGACGCGATTACCAGCTCTATTATTTTTGTCCTTTCTCACCAATGCTTTATGTGTGAGGTATTTGTATTGGTTGTACTGGAAGCGGATTCTATTTTGCTCATGCGATATCGTGTTACCTCTGTTTTGTGTCATGTAGGTGTTCATTTCGTTGGAGCACATGTGGAGAGCCGTATCATGAATCCTAAAATTTCGATCTATGCTCCCATGCAATCTCATGTCGCAGGGGGAGAAGGAGTTGGTCAGAAGTATCTCGTTGAAGTAACTTCCGGACGTGGTTACAGGGGGGTTACGCATACCGAAATGGGGGAAACTCCCCCAAGCAATGTTCGAAGAGTTAGCAGAGAAATGAGAAGCTCGTCCTGCATTAGGATGAATTATATTCATGGTGGTTGTCTTCACATCCTCGTCATATATGTAAGGCTCTCGTCTTCTCGTTGGGGGATTCTCGCTAATGGAGGGGCGATCTACTTTGCGCAGTGTTCCCTGAGAAGGTCCCTTAATCCCGTTGCATATATCCCCCTCAACTGTTTTTACCATTTCTGTGTTACAAATTCCATGAGGTGAGAAAAGCTTACTAGGGTGTTTAACATTCCCCTTTGAGTTTTTTGTGGGGGGCACACCACCTGCGATGCTGCAATGGGGGTCTAACTGGGGTGTGTTGTGTGGACGGAACGGGTTGGTCTTATCATCTTCTTCTGTTAAATAAACTTCATTTTGTAGGTCTGTATTTATCCCATGTTTGTCTCTTCCATCAGCAGCAAGGATGCCCTTCTCACTACTTAAAAAATCACTCTCACGGGTATGCGATTTTTCGAAGTTGCTCGAGTGCATATCTTTCGCGTTGTCGGTGCCACTCCCACTGCTACTGCTATTGGTTGAGATGGAGCACCCGCTGGTAATCCTTTGGCCGATTTTAATTTCCTTATCTGGGGGGGTGTCACCACACGTCTTCACAGTATCGCCAACGAAAGGATCTTTTACTTTGTTCGAGGGGGGATGTTCTTCCAAATATGGGTTACTACTACTACCACAGTTGACGCGATCTACACTAACAGAATGAACAACTCCATTCGCTACACTCTTATGTTTACCTGAATGTTTCGTTACGTGCATTTTATGAAACAACGTTACATCCCCGAGCCTTGAAAAAAATGATTCATTTATGATTTTATTATTTTCTTCCATGTGGTGTTTGATATTGATTTCCTCTTTTCCTTGATCCTTCCAGGGTATGTTCTGTACTTCCCTGGCACTGCAAAGACTGATTGCAGGGGAGCGTCCGCTTTTACGACACTCATCAGGGGTTAAACTTTTTGTTTTTTTTTTGGACCACGTTGAATATGTAATGTCGTTCCGCGTGTGGGGGTCGGTCCCAAAGTTCTCTCTATACATATGGCTCCCTGTTGTGCTGTTGGGAGGACTAGTTTGTTTTTTCTCTTTGGGTTTGCCATTTGCTCGGCTGATGTATCTTTCGTAATTAAAGCTATAAATGGGGTCGTAGAGAGTAAGTAGCTCGTCCCAAACCCCCCCGTGGCAAACAGACGACAACAATCTTTTGTTTATTTCATCTGCATTTTTGAGGTGAGATTTTTCCTCATCAATGATGTTTATCGTTTTGGTCAGCTTCTTTCTGGAGTTGAGTTCATTGAACAAAATCATGAGGGAGTAAAAGAGGGGGGCGAGAGCTTTTAGATGGCTCTCGCTGACTGCGTCGTAGCTGTCCATATGTTGGTCTCTCCTTCCAATGGTTTCTTTCTCGAGGTCCTTTCTTCCTCCACTTTGCGAATTCATCAAACACATTGCAGATACTTCATTTGTTCCTTCCATCGTTGGTGCAACTCCTATGGGGGGCTCGAATTGGGACAGGATTTTCCCATTACGGTGCATTATCTTTAAGATATTTCTTTTCCTCTTCTGCTGTTGTGTGTGGGGGTTTTTACCCCTTGTTGATTGTGTAAGGGAGTTGTCGAAGCAGTTGGGGCAACCGCAGTGGGAGAGCCGCTCCCAGCAGTGCATTGAACATGTAGACACGGGCTCGAGTTCCTCTTCATCATCGCTCCCCCAAAATTGTTTACACGATTTTGTGTAATGATGGCAGCACGAGTTGACACTCGATTCTTCGTACTCATTTTGAGAGAATATTTTCTCCACTAAGTGGCACGATGTGCTAGAAAAATGGCCGGCCGTTTGGCATGTCTGTCCTGTTTGGTCCTCTTCTTCGGCCTCTTTTTTGGTCTTTTTTTCCTCCCCTTTCTCATCCCTCTCCTCCGTGGGTTCGTCACAAGGGATACTGTTCATCGGCCCATTTGGCATTGGTGACATTCCTGACAAACATGGGTTGACCACGCTGTTGCAGAGTGACGGAGACGAATTAGACGTGGTGATTTGCATTTGTTCCACTTTGCATTTGAGTTCACCACTGAGGACGGCATCCTCTTTGTCACAATCCTTTATGGTACCCTGGGGTTGGTTGTGAATTGCGTGGAGAGAGAGTCCTCTTTTGTGCAGGTGCCCCTCACTGCTGCTACGGTTGTAATCTTGTGATTTATTTGGGTTGTTCGAATGGGGCTCATTTTCCCCCTTGCGATATTTTTCCCCGGTATGTCTAATTGAGCTGCCACCTGTTTCACCCGTTTGAGAGAACCAACCAGGTGAAATGGTCACATCGTTCAATCCCTTCTGAACTTGTACGTCGGCTGGTAATCCTCCAGCAGTTTTTTTTTCTACACTGATATATGTGTTTGTTTTTTTGGTGTCTTCCTTCTTTGGAGCACCCAATTGATTTCCTTTTTTTTTTAATTCTTCTCTGAAGGTTGAGTTCCCCATAGTTTTAGCCCCGCCATCAATTGTAGGGCTTCCATGGGGTGATGTTCCTACATCCCTAATACCTGTGTTTCCTCGTTTTTTAAATGGTGATATGTTCATGTCTTCCTTGTCTCTTCCGGGACTCCTATCGATGGATTCATTCTCCATCATACCGTTTGGCTTCCCCTCATGGTAATAACCACCGTTTAGGAGTGTTTCTTTTTTTTCCTTGAAAGAACAGACAGGCTCATGTGATGGGTCTCTTCCTTTGAGTTGGTCCGTGTGTCTACCCTTCGAGCGATCTCTCGACAGGTGAGCAGTACAGGGGAGTACAGCACCTGCATCATCGCTGATGGTGCTAATGGTGCTGACTGCACTTGTCCCTCTGGACGTTCCCACTTCTTTGCCTTTCCCCTGATCATATTTCTTAAATGGGTATTTTTCAACAGATTCACAAAATGAACTACTCTCCATGGGGAGTTTGCAATAACAGACTGACAGCATCATCCAGAGGATGGTGGGGAGTCCTCCCTGTTTCATCGATGGTAAGGTCCTAACTTTTAGAACTAGCTTCAGAATCCTCATTACATTTTTTAAATTGGGAAAACTTTTTAAAATGCTTGAAAAAAATTCAGTGTGCTTCAAAGAGTTGTTTGTATTAACAGAAACATCACACACGATGTGATTTTTTCTCAGGGTTAGGATAGGAACTCTAGCAGAGTCCACTAGCTGTAGTTGTACGTCGTCAAAGAAAGCACATTCGGATGGGTCTAGGGGTGTGGCATCTCTGTTGTTCCGTTTGTCATGTATGCTCAAATGGCATTCATCTGATATCACTTTGCTTCTTGAGTCAGTCGAGTATTTATCCTTCCACTCCGCGTCGTTGTCCTTCCCCTCCGCTTCGGTCTTGCGCTTTCTCTTCATCTGAACGATGTAGTTGTAAATGTTACGCAGGATATACTTGGGGTTGTAGAGATTGGCCTGAATGACGATGTCCAGGTCGCTTGTCTTGGAGTCCACCCCGTAGGCACTAGAACCCACTGTATATATTTTAATGTCACAGGTGAACAAGTGCTTTATTAGCTTGGACAGAAGAGAAAAGATTTTTCTTTTCGTTCGTTTGATATCCTTGGACGGCTTCACCTTTTTGAGCAGATCGATTAGTAGTTCTTCTGTTTTTCTCAACAGGAGGGAGATATCTGCCTGGAGAGCATTGCGTGTTGTGTTGTTTCCCTTGTCACATCGGTGTAATGTTGTAGGGGGAGGACCCACTTTAACGACGTTGCATCTCTGAATTGCATAATGTAGGAATGACAGCAGGTGTACCCTTGGCTTGTCTTCTAGGTTTAGAGATAGACTTCTTCTTCTCCCATTTTGGAGGGGGAGGTGACTGCTGCTCGCGATGAACTTATCGTAGTGACTTAGGGTGACGCAACTTTGGTTTCGGTTTCTTCCCTTTTGGGCTGCATCATTACAGTTAGCAGGTGCCCCATTATGGGCGGCCACCTCTTCCCAATTTTTCTTCCTCTTTTTTTTTTTTTTTTTTTTTTTTCTTCTTCTTCCTCCTCTTATCATTCAAGTGCTGCCCGTTTTGCGGCGCGTACCCATAGGATTCCTCTACGTAATTATTAGGACACTCATGGGGGTCTGCCTCCTGATTTTCTATCCCGTGCATGGGAGTACCTTCCCCCCCCTTGGCAGGCTGCTTCACGCTCCTTGGTTTTATATTAGAGAACAAGCATAAGGGTTCACCGATCGTGGATGTGTTTACAGAGTAGGCCTCCTCATCATTTCCAACGACTAAAACATTCTCATGGTTACATTTTTTAAGTTCGTTGTATTTCCTAACCATTCTGTTATAATTGTTTGTCTTATTTTCATTTTTTTGATTGATGTTTGAGGAGGCTGACTTTTGTTTCTTCTTCTCTTTATGGAGTCGTATTCGTGCGGGTCCCCCATTGTCCATGCCTTCGTAAGCATTCGGTAGGTCCTGTTGGGTAGAGAGCACTCTGGATTCATCATCAGTTGGGAATTTTTTCCACTCATTTTCATCTACCAATTGGTCATTCGTATAATATATCGCATCCCTTTTAGTTTCGTTTTCCATTTGTTCAGCACTTGGACATTGTCGCTCGGGGATCCCATCTTGTTCTACTCTGTTTCCATTGGGCAGAGAGCAAAGATTTTTTTTTCTTTCCTTCGGGGGGTTGTTCTTCCTCTTATCCATCCTATTGGTTTTGTCTGTTTCACCTGGGCATTGCGAGGGGTTGTCTCTGTGTGAGATGTGCTGCTGGTCCAGTGGAAGAATTTCTTTATAGGAGTAGCTTCCAAGAGAATTGCCTCCTTGTTGATAAGTCCTATTTGGAGTGGGTCCATAATTCTCACCGAAGTAATCTCCATTGGTGAAGTTCCCCTCGTTGGTCAGATTTGGAAAATGGGGCGAGCTAGTAACAGAGTGCAAATCTCGTAGCGGGATGCCGAGCGGGGGGATGATGCCGCTATAGGGGAGGTGGTAAAAGCCACTTGAAGGTTTGCCATAGGACCCAGCAAAGGTGTTCACAAGAGGGTTATTATACTCAAGAGGACACATGGCATTAAATTTGTTACTATCGTTTGAAAAAAAAATACTTCTGTCTGCACTGTACATACTGTGTTGTGTGTATTGCTCATCGTTGAAATATTTTTTTTTTTTTTTTTTTCTTATGCGTAATTTGTTGTGCATGTCCCATTTGTGGTTTGGGACATAGTTCATTTTTTCTCTGTTCCGTTGGACTGTTTGGTGGAAAAGTGTTGTATCTGGGTGCAGAGGGTTAGGGTTCGTTTCTTGGGCGTTCAGCACCACGTGCCTGTTGCCTGGAGGGTAGTTACCTCCTACGGGGAAGTTATTTTCTACGTTTACGTGTCCCGGGTTGAGGTTACTGCTCCAGTTGTTACTATGCTGCGCACCTCTGTCGAAGGTTCCAATCGGGGGGAGACCCATTTTGTTAACAGGAACAACCAAGTGATGATTGTAAGGGACATCATCCCAAGGGGTGTTCATTCCTCTGTTGTAACAATCTCCTAAGTAACTTACTTCTCTACATAGGAATGGGTCATGTTTCACTGGGCCATGTGTCCCTTTGGCTTCTTCACTCTGACCTCCCTTTGTGTGAACATAATGGTACTTATTGTGAGGGGGTCCAATTTTATTACGTGGTTTGTGGTCCGTTTGGACGGAAGTACAAATGTTGTAATCGATGTCCTGACGATGAGAAACACTGCTGGTTATACTCCTTGGGTTTTCACACACACTGGGGGCATACCTTCCCCCTACTTCATCTGTTGCGGCAACAAGGGATGCTTCTACAGAGGCCACATCCTCATTGTTCACTCCCATGACACTGCTACCCACTTCAGTGTAATTATTCAAATCGGTTCCACCATTGGGAAAGGTCTTCACTCTGTATTGCCTGCCATATATTGGGGGTCTATACTGTTGTTGAGGGAGTCCACAAGGCTGCTGAAGTAGGCGACGCGCTTTATTTCTACGTGCTTCGTTCTGTCTGCCTGGGAAGAAGTTTTCTTGTCCGTTTATCAAGTTGTTCATGCGGCCCACTCGGTTCGGGTTTCCAAAGTTGTGAGCACCGCTGAGCCCGCTCACGCTGTTGATTCCTCTCATTCTGTTCATTCCACCCAAGTCCCTCGCGCCGATCATATAATTCGCGAATCCATGTTTAAAATGGTTAAAATACGGTTCCCTGCTACATGGGCCACGTTCATTTTCGCTTCTCCATAAGTCTTCCATGTAGAAGGTGGTGGCACCAGTGGGGTAGTTCAATTTTAGGTGTTTCGGTGGGAATCCCTTTCTGCGTGTTCGTTGGGGCAGCGTCCTGTGGATGCGGGCTAGTCGATTAGCGTGTCTGATTGGGTTCATTCGATTGACGTAGTTCATATAGTTCATGTAGTTTACGTAGTTGGCGTAGTCCCTCGACACGAAACTGCTGACGTTGTCGCTGAGCAGATCTACTGAGTAGTCCTCGTCATGGGTGTCGCGGTTATGGCGGTTTGGGATTCCGCTCTGTTGGCTGCCGCTCCGTTCGATACAGTCCCTTTGGTGGCTTCCATTGTCTCCTCCATTTACAATTCTGTCCACTCGTCCGTGCACATCCCTACCCTCACGTGGCATCTCCCTCTCTTCAAAGTAGCCATCACGAGTAGGGGGCACATTAACAAAAGATTCGTTTCCCTCAGAGACGTTACTCTGGTCTTCCTGCTCCAATACATTTTGTAAATTAAAATTATCTTCGCTGGTGTATCTGTAATGTTTTGTATGATCCACATTTGATAAGTTTGGGGGGGTGCAGAACCCATGGTTTGTGGGAAGTGGGTTCATGGTCCTGTTCGCATACGTGCTAATTAGTGTGTAGATGATGGGGTTCATGGCGCATGGGTCGTCCACGTCAATCTGGTGAGACTGTGCGTGATATTTCTTCCGCTGCTTCTCCTTGTGTGTCCCTTTTCTTGGGGCCAGTTGGGGGGCACGCGAACGGCTGCTACCCGCTTGGTTGATACCCAGTTGGCTGCTACCAAATGGAGTACTTCCAACGTCGCATCCGTCTACCTTCTCGACCCTCGCGTTAGAAGTCCTTGCCTCTGGAGTTGAAGCGGAATCCATTTCCCCTTTCTCTTCCCCGTTGCTGCCTTTCCGCATAACAGATTTTTGTGAGCCTTTTGTAGATCCCTTTGTGGGGTTACATTTTTCGCCCAAGTGATATTCAACCTGTGGGAGTCTACGCCCCATGGGAGATGACTCCTTATTACGAAGGTAAGGTGTGTCCTCCTCGGCAGACTGACCTATTTCCTTTTGTTCTTTTGAGTTGACGATCTGACTTGTGGATTTAAGCTCCTCGTTTGTGTCCACCTGTTCAGTATAATTTTTTTTTTTTTTTTTTTTTCTTTTCTTTTTTTTTTTGTGTTGTGTCCCACTTGCATTGGTTATGTTCTCTATGTTGAGCAAATCGTCACAACTAAGTGGTGATAGTTTCTCTATTATATTTTCCGTTCCATTTTCCATTCTGATATTCGCAATTTCTTCGGATATATTTATATTCCACGTGGGTGATATGGAACAATCATTGGGGATATCCTTAGCGTTCGATGTGGGTTCCCTTGTGTGATCATCTCCCGTGTTCGCAAAACTATCAGACTGTTTTTTTTCATCTCGGCTCAGTTGGGATGATTCAGTTTGATTACACTCAACGTTACTCAGGATTTCACCTTTAGTGACGATTTCATTTGTGGTGTTGAGTTTCCCATTCGAGGGGATGGAACTTTTGCTCTTTTTGCTTTTTTCGTTATTCCCCCTTCTGTTCACATTTTTCTGTTCGCCTTCCATGCCTTCGTTCATTCCTACGTCGATGTTTGAAGGAGCCAAAGTGCTGAGTTGGGCTGTGTCTAACGAATCATCATTCGTGGTTTCAAAAACTGTTCCATTTTGATTCGATTTTTTTTGGCTAGCTCTATTGAAAGCAGTTGAAATGGGTTCTGATGGATGATCTATATTTCCTACCTCTTGGCATTTATTGCAATGGAAATGATTTTCTTCCCCTTCTGGTTTGCGTTTATTTGTCTTGTGACTCTCTCCAAGTGTTTGACTAATCACACTTGTTTCTGGAGTGAATAACGAAATGTCATCCTTTGAATCCACTGAGACGTATTCCTTTTTTCGCGCTGGGTTGTTTTTGTGAGAGCACTTTTTACTGTTACTAGAGGTTGTGTTTATTGAGGGTAGGGGTAGTAGAGTTGCTGTTTCAGCTTCACCATTTCCACTTGGAACGGGGGTTGTCTTTGTGTCCATCTCATAGTCGCTTCCCTTTTTGACATGTTCTGGGAAGGTACTCTGAGGAGTTAGTAACTGTTGGAGGTGTTCGATGTGTCGTGCGCTTCGACTTTGCATCCTTCCCCCGTTCGTTAAGGTAGTATTGTATTTACTACCGTTATTTTGGGATTCTTCCTCCTGGTTAATCTGCATGCGGTGGCTGGTTGACAGGTTTACTTGCAGTCCGTCTGCCCCCTCGTTAGCCGTTTCGCTATCCACCTGGCTGCCTCCACTTTCCTTTTTTTTTTTTTTTTTTTTTTTCTTCCTCTTTTTCTTCTTCTTCAGGAAATCTTTTATGTCATGTAGAATCGGTAATTTTAGATGCATTTTTTGCTCTAACTTCTTTTGCTTTATTGTAGCTATCTGGGAGTGCACCCTGGAATGTGCTTCGTTCGGGGTGGCACTGCCGTCATAATTACTGTTGATGCTGACCTGATTGAGGTATTCCGAGTCCTGTCCACTTTGCTCATCATAGGGGTGGTACGCTGCGTGAAGTGTGGGACGGGTTCTACCTAACGCAATCGTGTCTGTTCCCTTATGAGAGATATGAACTGCCTGATACATCGCACTTGGTCGATTGTCTTTGCGGCTTTCATTTTCTTCATTGTTCAAACAGCGCTGTTTTGGGTGTAGCGTGTATGTGACGAGCGAAGTGGGGCTTTCCTTATGTGCACACTTCGAGCAAGGGGTGACGGAAGTGAACGTGGGTTCTACTATCTCCGTCTCTTTTTGCTGCTTATTTTGTGATATCCCTTTCCTGAACTCAAGACTGCTAAACTTGTTGAAAAAGTTTAGGTTATACAGAATTTTATTCACTTGGTTCACTTTTTTTTTGTAAATGCTGAGTTTCCTTCTGCTTTCTTCGCTGGAGTGTACTTGATGGGGGCGGGGACAGTGGTCGAGGTGGCGTGTACCATGTTCGTTGTTATCTCCTTCAGCGTCGGTGTTATCACATTCTTCACTGTCCTCATCATCTTGCTCACCACCCCTGTTGATTGGACACGAAACATGCATGCCTTCCGCGGGTTTGTCCCTATGTGCATCTACTGCAGATGCAGGGGGTGGTGACTTTCGTCTTCTCTTCTTCTTCTTGTTGTTGTCCTGCCGCTTCCCCATTTCCTCGGCGCACCGTGACGCATGATCTTTGTCATTAATGACGTAGCCTTGTACTTGTTTTGGTTCCGCGGAGTGGGTTGCCACATCGATTGTTTTTTTTGCTCGTTTATTATGCTTCTGCCAATTGGTGCGATCGGTGCGGTCCTTGTCTTTTATCCCATTTGGTGTGCAATTTGTGGCTTGTTCTTCGATCGGATAAGCTTCCGACGTGTGTGCATCCTTCTCGTTGTGAGTAGAGGCACCAGTGGAATTTCTTTCACTTGCTGTTCTCAACACACATTTGAGCACGCGTCGTTGGCTGTGCGTGTGTGCATTCTGTGGCTGTTCCCGTGGACGCCTTTGGGGGGATCCTCCACTGGGTGTATGGTTGAGGAGGTGGTTTGTGTAAAGACTCTGCTTGCTATTGAAACTTCCAGTGTGGCTATTACTATCCCCGCTCCAGGCGGAGTGTAGGTTCCCCTCTACGCTGTCCATTATTGAATTAAAATCTTTGTTCTCTCTCATACGAGTGGTTACAAGTTTGGGGGTTACAAAAAGGGGGTTGTATCAACGAAGGTTCCGGAATGAACCATTCATTTTTTTTTTTTTTTTTTTTTTTTTTTTTGGCTTATATTAGTTAATGCACGAAAGGACAGTGATTTCTTTGCGAATCGTTGTTGATCCCCCGGCCAGAGTAGTGGCTGCTTGGTTGTTCAAATAGTTGTCGCTGTTCCTTAGGCTTGTCGTTTTGGGGAGTGCTCCTGCATGTGTTCCGCTTCGTTCAGATTTGTTCAGCTTCCTACAGCTTCGTTTGATTTTTTCTTTTTTTGTTTTTTTTCCGTTTTTCTTCTTCTTCGACGGGTCTCTGGTTGAGCTCTGTGCACAACTTCCCCTTCGAGGTCAGTTGGTTTTCCCCGTTTTGTTTTTTTTATCTTCATATGGTTATCTGTTTTTTATTTTTTTCATTTTTCACTTTTCACGCTTTACTTTTTATTTTTTCATTTTTGATTGTGTACTCTTAAGAATTCCCTCTTTGGCTTGATGCTGTGTAAAATTGATGGGGTCCTTTTAGCAGAATGTTAAAATAGAAGCGTTTGATGTGCTCTTCTCATTTGGGGGGCGGTACATTGCTCTGTAAGGAATATCGTGGGACGGCATGACTTATGCAGCTTGACCTTCACAAGCGCGCCTGTCAGTTTTGTTCTTCCGTCGATTGGGCGCTTGGTTGCTTTGGGGGGCAGCCCGGTTGGCGGAGCGGGGATTGTGGAATCGGGTGCGTCTTCTGCCGTGCCTGCGCGATTCCGCTGTCGATTTTCCCGTTGCTGCTTCCCCCCGCACGTGAAGCTCCTGTCGCGTTTCCTTCCTTGCCCACACTCGAATGTGTTTAACGATTTCACAAAATGAAATGGGCTTTTCTCCAATTGGAAGCGTCAAAATATGAATAATACAATGTTGATGCCTTTTCAGTTTTTTTTTATTTTATTTTATTTTTTTTTGCAACTTGTTCGTGTTACTGTGTTAACTTTAAAGTTGTTGTTTGTGTCGATTTTAATTTCGTCGCAGCTGCTTAGCGTTGCAGTCACACAGTGGGCATGACGTCGCCCCGCTGCACCTTTTTACCCTTGACCGCTTTTATGTGCGTAGAGCCCTGCGTACCACTCAGGCGTACTTTTTTTTTTGTTTTTTTGCACCTCCGATTTGTTTTCCTTAGTGTACGCTTTATTTTTATGTTAAAATTATTTTTTCCCTCTTTTTTGGCATAATCTGTTATGGGGTGATCATCAAAAACAGGGTTTGCTTTCGTTCGGGGAAAACTTCGACGGTGTGTTTTTTTTTTTTTTTTTTAAAGAAAAGGCCCTACATCGGCGGCATTATGTGCATTCGTCAGGGTGACAGGAACGCGTACATGGGCATACACGCGGATGCGTACTGGTACGTACAAATAGCTACCGTCGGCATGTAGAGGCATACACAGCAGTGTTAATTCGTTGGGCAACGAGCATCTCGTTGCTGCTTGTGGAGTCTGGAAAAAGCGGGACACAGAAATGAGGGATGGCGTTGGGAAGCACGAAAGGAAAGGCATGACGAGTTAATTGCACGATGGGGTCACACATAACCAGTCAAATGAGTGAGAAAAAATTCATTACCGCATAGTACCCAATTAGGGTGGGATATTTGTACTGCACGATTGAGTGAAAATTTGGTGTGCTTATAATCGGTCTGTCCCACCGGGGGTTCCCGCAAATGGGGCAAAACGAAAATGAACTGAACAAATACTGAAGGGTGAACAAAATTCAAAATTAAACATGTGGCAACAGATGCCAACATGGCACCATGGACAAAACAACATTGAGTAAAGTTAAGGATGTCAGGTGCAGAAAGGCACACAGGTGACATGTTTCCCTGGGGATGGCAAACCGCATGGGGATAATACACTCAGGAAACTGTGTGCCCAAACCGCAAGGCCAAGCATGATAAAAAATGTCACATTGTTGTGTACAATAAAAGTAACCCTTCTTTTAAGCATCCCCTCGTTTGCGTGTGTAACGTTTGTGTAATGGGATACATCTTTTCATCAGAATCAACACGCAGGGTGCACGCCCACCACCACCCATGTTAATCTACTCAAAATAATGACCGCAGGTAGGGAAACATATATAAAACGTAAATGTGTCATAAGTTGCACAGTGGAGGCTCTTTGGTCACTCTGCCTTTTGCGTATAAGTGCCTACTGGATAGGGCGATAAATGATCAGTAATATTTGCCCTCACAGGTGTGGGGAATTCAAAGCAGGCCCAAAATAGGCAAAGCACCATTATTACATTCGAATTGTGCCCTTGTGATGTTGTGGCACCTTGGAAGGGCGAACAAAAAATGGGTCTTTTCAAATGCCCATGTCAGGGCGATGTGTAGCACAGTGGTACGTTCCCCCGTGGGTGTGCCCCCATATGCGGCCACAAGTGGCACACACGCACATGGCAGCCAAGTGTACCATCCCTATCGGAACAGTACTTAGTACACTTTCATGGTTATCATTTTTTTTTTTTTTTTTTAGAAAGTGTTACATTTTAGCTAGCCAGGGCAAAAGGCCCCCTGTCGATCAATTTTTGTGCAAATATAAATTGGCATTTTCAAATTGTGGATCTTTCCAATAGTA